ATTCTTCTTGGCGGTGGCGCTGAAAGCGCATCCGTCATGGATTTGCATGAGTGCAACGGTTCCCCTTGACCTTCTCCCTCTGTTGTGTTACTGCTTGGCTGCTTTGTGAAGGGCCCCTTTAACACGCAGAGGGGGGTGAAGAATTTGATCGGTCATTATGGGGTTTTACATCCGTTGCATCCGCAGTGTGGCTGTTCAAGCGTGAAAATGTGCGAGCAGCGCACTTGGACGGTTTGTTGTTTCCTTTTGGGCCCCAAACCGGTAACCCTTGAATCTATACTTTCCTTTCCTTTCCTTTCCTTTCCTTTCCATTCCTATCCTTTCCTATCCTTTCCTTTCCTTTCCTTTCGTTTCCTTTCCTTTCCTTTCCTATTTTTTCCTTTCCTTTCCTTTCCTATCCTTTCCTTTCCTTTCCTTTCCTTTCCTTTTCTTTCCTTTCCTTTCCTTTCGTATCCTTTCAATTCTTTCCTTTCCTATCCTATCCTTTCCTTTCCTTTTTCCTTTCCTATCCTTTCCTTTCCTTTCCTTTCCTTTCTTTTCTTTCATTTCCTTTCCTTCCTTTCCTATCCTTTCCTTTCCTTTCCTTTTCTATCCTTTCCTTTCCTATCCTTTCCTTTCCTTGTCTTTCCTTTCCTTTCCTTTCCTTTCCTGTCCTTTCCTTTCCTTCCCTTTCCTGTCCTTTCCTATCCTTTCCTTTCCCTCCTATGCTTTCCTTTCCTTTCCATTCCTATCCTTTCCTTTCCTTTCCTATCCTTTCCTTTCCTTTCCTATCCTTTCCTTTCCTTTCCTATCCTATCCTTTCCTTTCCTTTCCTTTCCTATTCTTTCCTTTCCTTTCCTTTCCTTTCCTTTCCTTTCTTGTCTTTCCTTTCCTTTCCTTTCCTATCCTTTCCTTTCCTTTCCTTTCCTTCCCTTTCCTTTCCTTTCCTATCCTTTCCTTTCCTTTCCTATCCTTTCCTTTCCTTTCCTTTCCATTCCTATCCTTTCCTATCCTTTCCTTTCCTTTCCTTTCCTATCCTATCCTTTCCTTTCTTTTCCTTTCCTTTCCTATTCTTTCCTTTCCTTTCCTTTCCTTTCCTTTCCTTTCCTTTCCTTTCCTTTCCTTTCCTTTCCTTTCTCTTTTTTCATTCCCTTTCCTTTCGTTTGCTTTCCTATCCTTTCCTTTCCTTTCCTTTTCTATCCTTTCCTTTCCTATCCTTTCCTTTCCTTGTCTTTCCTTTCCTTTCCTATCCTTTCCTTTCCTTTCCTATCCTTTCCTTTCCTTTCCTTTCCTTTCCTATCCTTTCCTTTCCTTTCCTTTCCTTTCCTTTCCATTCCTATCCTTTCCTTTCCTTTCCTTTCCTATCCTTTCCTTTCCTTTCCTTTCCTTTCCTATCCTTTCCTTTCCTTTCCTTTCCTATCCTTTCCTTTCCTTTCCTTTCCTTTCCTTTCCTATCCTTTCCTATCCTTTCCTTTCGTTTCCTTTCCTTTCCTTTCCTATCCTTTCCTTTCCTTTCCTTTCCTTTCCTTTTTGTCCTTTCCTTTCCTTTCCTTTCCCTTCCTTTCCTTTCCTTTCCTTTCCTTTCCTTTCCTTTCCTTTGCTTTCCTCTCCTCTCCTCTCCTCTCCTCTCCTCTCCTCTCCTCTCCTCTCCTCTCCTTTCCTTTCCTTTCCTTTCCTTTCCTTTCCTTTCCTTTCCTTTCCTTTCCTTTCCTTTCCTTTCCTTTCCTTCCTTCCTTGGAGGAGCCGCTAGATGAGCCCCTCGCCCCGGAGAGGCCAAAGCACCGTCCATGCCACGGCAAACCAGGGCCTTGGCATTTCCTCAACGAAGCTAGCCACTTGCTACCTCACCCACAGGCTGAGATTACTGCCCGAATGAAATGGAACATGGTGAACGCCACAGAAAGGATGAAGGAAAAGGCCAACATGTTATCTCTCCTCTATCTCTCTATTTCTCTATCTGTCTATCTCTCTATCTCTCTAGCTATCTATGCATCTCTCTATCTATCTCTCTGTCTCCTTATCTTTGTATCTCCCCATCGATCTATCTCTCTATCCACCTCTCTATTTTTGTATCTCTGCACTTATCTGTCAATTTATTTATCTATCCCTCTATCCCTCTATCTATCCATTTCTTTAGCTTTCCTTCTCTCTATCTTGTTTGTCTTTGTCTTTCTCTTGTCTTCCTCTCTTCGTGTCTCTTTTTTGTCGATTTCTCCCCGGGAATCAAGAAGGTGCCAGACCTGCAACGGCTCGTAGGTCACATGGGACGGGCAGTTTGCATCACAGGAGCCAACGCCCAGCGTGCCCAGCGCGCCCAGCGCGCCCAGCGCGCCCAGCGCACCTGCGAGGGTGCCAGGGCCGAACAGGTCACGCCGAGGCACGGGTCCGCGCGCAGCATGTGAGCATGACCGGCAGCAACAAAAAGTTGGAGGATCAGAAAGGATCCCGGAGTCACGAGAAGTACCCAACAACAGGGGCGCTTCAATTTTCCCATGCCCTTTTGGGGGAAACGATGTTAATTTTTCGCCGGCACTCGCCTTGGCCGCGAGGCTTCAGCGCATTGGCATCAAGGCAGGCCCATGCCATACCATATATATATATATATGTGTATATATATATATATAAAGTCTTCCATTTGAGGGCACGGTTCCTGCGGTTGTCAAGGAAATTGACAAGGGACGCATCCAGGTTGGGTGTTCCCCCGTTTTGAGACTCTTTCTTGGGGGTTTGTATGGGGAGCTGCTTCACCCCCCAAGTCATTCTCGGCCTTGCACCGTCAAGGAGGTTCAATAGTTTACCAAGCTTGCTTCAAGCCTTCGAGCGATGAGTAAGCCTCAGATCTTGAACGTAACGGCTTGTTTTGTCTTTTCCTTCGGTGTCCACATGTCCATTGTTCCTAGATTCTCTTCCGCAACGTTGTTTGCTTTGGACATTGCAGACCTACATGTTGCCCAGATTTCGCGAGGCCTGCTCCAGCGCAAGGCCGTGCGCCCAGAGACTTTTGAATCTGGGGCGAAGCTTTCCAAAGTGATTTGGGTGTGATTTTTTGAAAGGATCCTTTTGGGTTGGTTAGAAGGGAAACTCGCGGAAGCTACGGATGTTGAGAGAAACCCCGTGCTGAAGCCTTTAGACGACCAATGTAAAGGCTCCGAGCAATGGAACCAATAGAACCATAGCCATGACCAATATTCGGAGTTTTGAGCATACACTCTCCATTGGGCTGCGCCGACCAATCAAAGTCGCCCAGCATTTCTTTTGAATTCAGAGGGGTTCGATGTATTTGTCGCGCTCTTGTTTGTCTCATGGCCCAGCTTTCGTGCCGAGTCCGCGATCCCGGGCTTTCAGGCGAAGCGCGGGAGAGCGATGCGAAGATGGCGCAGGACGTGGACGCGGCTGCGGCAAAGCACGCAGGTCTGGATGGAAGCAAAAATGGGTCCCCCACACAAAGCAAAAATGGCAAGGGCCAAGGCGTCCATTTTTTAGGTGAGTTTCGGCATAAATGGATGGGTTCCACTGGTTAGATGGGGCGTATGGCCCATTTACCAGGGAAACTCATCTACTTCTCCAAAAGGCCATCTATGGGCAAGGGTTTCCTTTTGGTTTCCCTTTAACTACCAGAAAGGGATCCACCATTCTGCGGAACACCACAATTTGCAATTCTCAAGCCAAAAGCGCAATGCCGTTTGGGTCGACATGTCCAGCATCTCTTTTGGAGCCTCATTCCGGTGAAGGTGTGAGGCGCATTGGTATGATTTCGTCGGCATTTCGTCTCCGCAGGTCCCTCTACCAGACCCAGGCATCGGGGGGTTTGGCGCATGCGGCTTGAGCTCGTTCAGTCGTGTCGAGCCCCGAGGCATCAACCTAGCGAGGCTTCACTCTCAAACGGGACACCCCCCCCAACACATCCACGGGCTTTTCAACCTGTCTTCAAACAGAAGGCGTTTCACTGGGAGGCCGGATGCGAGCGGGACGGTGACCATCCTCTCCAGCTTCGGGCAAAACCGCGTGGAGGCACTGGAGGCGGCTGCGGAAGAGGCCAAGCAGCGCCAGCGGTTGGAAGACGATCTCTTCGACCGGCTCAGCGGCGAGGGTCGGAAGGCTGACAGGCGGGGGGTGCAATGGCGACTAATTACGTTTGATTTGGTGCTCTCTTACTGGGCAAGGATCAAAAGGGGCTTGTGTAAACACCGGGTTTCTAAATCTTACAAAAGGTTGGCCCAACCCTGACAGGGCGGAGGGGGAAGATGAGGATGCCCATGACTTGCAGGAGCGGCTTTCAAGGCTCCGAGCGGCACAGCAAGCTGAAAGGGAAGCCGAGCAACAAGCAGTGGCTGAGGCGCAAGCAAGCCAAGCGAGGTTTGAAGCTGAAAGACGAAAGGCAAGAGAGGCACGCAAAAGGGCCAAGCCAGCGCAAGGCACTGAACCTCTTGCAGAAGACGCTGCTCAAGAGGGAAAGGCGGAAGACAGAGATGAGGAACAAAGCAGAAGAAGAGAGCAGGACATGCACTTAGAAGCTGAGCGGCAAGCTGAGCGAGCTAGGCTGGAGGAACAGAGGAGAAAGGGGGAAGAGAGCAGGAGGGAAGAGGAGGAAGCGCGCTTGCAAGCTGAGCGGCAAGCTGAGCAAGCCAGGCTAGAAGAAGAGAGGAGGAGAGAGGAGCAGATGAAGAGGGAAGAGGAGGACGCGCGTTTGGAAGCTGATCGGCAAGCGGAGCAAGCCAGGCTGGAGGAAGAGAGGAGGAGAGAGGAGCAGATGAAGCGGGAAGAGGAGGAAGCCCGCTTGGAAGCTGAGCGGCAAGCGGAGCAAGCCAGGCTGGAGGAAGAGAGGAGGAGAGAGGAGCAGATGAAGAGGGAAGAGGAGGACGCGCGTTTGGAAGCTGAGCGGCAAGCGGAGCAAGCCAGGCTGGAGGAAGAGAGGAGGAGAGAGGAGCAGATGAAGAGGGAAGAGGAGGAAGCGCGCCTGGAAGCTGAGCGGCAAGCGGAGCAAGCCAGGCTGGAGGAGGAGAGGAGGAGAGAGGAGCAGG